AGATGCGGTACAGCAACGTGCAGTAAACTTGGACAAAGTGCTGTGACTATGTGACCCAGTCCACCCAGCTGTGGGTGGGTACGTCCTAAGGATGGGAAAGCCACAATAACTCGGTGCGCCTTGTGGCAGCAAGAGTTGTATGATCCCCAGGGAGGTGAGATTGATATAAGATGTGCCGTTGAGATTGACATCCAATGATCGAGGGAAAAATACCAGCCTTGAGCATGCACTAGTGTGTGGATATGTGCGCTATATAAATATCCAATAATAATATCCTATTAGTTTGTTCACTGTACCAAAATATTAGACAGAAGGATATACCACCTTATTATTTTACATACCACTCTAAACTTAAATTTACACAACTGATGTCCAGCCAAGATAAATCTCTATTGTTTATTACTGCTATCTATCTGACCAAAATGTTTACACTGCGAAACTATGAGCGGGCGCTCATGTCATTGTGGTTTTCCAATATTCAGTACGTCACTGTACTATAGGCATCAATGACCATCATCTACGAAAATACAGAGTCTGAGTCTGAGTCATATGTTTTATGTACCTGTTTCAGATTTATCAGACTTTCCTATGTTTCAGAAAAACGGATCAATGCAAAGAAGAATATTCCAAAATAACCCCAAAACGCACATGTGTTCTGAAAAATTACTAAAAGTGTTGGTTACATGTCTGCCATTATTTTTTTGTTTCCTTGTACAGGGTAACAATGTCCGACTATTTGTCATAGACATATTACGTATATTGCTAGCAGTTAGTGTTTTACGATTGGAACAAAACACCAACTAATTGTTATCTTGGCTATTCTATTCTTTGAAAAGCTTAAACCACATGTTCACAGAAAATATTAGTAAAACCTTTCCGGAAACATACAAATTCACGTCAATAAAAGGCTTTTAGAGGCCTTTTGGGAATTTGCTCCAAAAGCATATTGAAATATGTTATAATGAAAAAGTTCAAAGAAAACAGTGCCAAAACGTTCCTGTAACCATACAAATTCACGTGAATGAAGCATTTATTGAAAACATTTAAAACATTTGCTACCTATTTCTCTCTTTTCACACGAGTGTCTTAAGTTGCTCCAATCAACACATGGTGTGTTTCCTCAGCCTGCTCCCTTCAACACATGGCGTGTTTCCTCAGCCTGCTCGCTTCAACACATGGCGTGTTTCCTCAGCCTGCTCACTTCAAAACATGACATGTTTCCTCAGCCTGCTCACTTCAACACATGGCGTGTTTCCTCAGCCTGCTCGCTTCAACACATGGCGTGTTTCCTCAGCCTGCTCACTTCAAAACATGACATGTTTCCTCAGCCTGCTCACTTCAACACATGGCGTGTTTCCACAGCCTGCTCACTTCAACACATGACGTGTTTCCTCAGACTGCTCGCTTCAACACATGACATGTTTCCTAAGCCTGCCCACTTCAACACATGACGTGTTTCCTCAGCCTGCTCACTTCAACACATGACGTGTTTCCTCAGACTGCTCTCTTCAACACATGGCGTGTTTCCTCAGCCTGCTCGCTTCGACACATGGCGTTTTCGTCAGCCAATGATTCAACACATGGAGTATTTCCTCAGTCCAGACTTCAACACATGGCGTGTTTCCTCAGCCTGCTCACTTCAACCCATGACGTGTTTCCTCAGCCAATGCTTCAACACATGACATTTCCTCAGTCCATACAACCATGACGTGTTTCCTCAGCCTGCTCACTTCAACACATGCGTGTTTCCTAAGCAAATGCTTCAACACATGGCGTGTTTCTTCAGCCTGCTCGCTTCACATGACGTATTTCCTCTATCCATACTTCAACACATGACGTGTTTCCTCAACCTGCTCGCTTCAACGCATGGCGTGTTTCCTCAGCCAATGCTTCAACACATGGCGTGTTTCCTCAGCCCATAGTTCAACACATGGCATGTTTCCTCTGTCAATGCTTCAACACATGACGTGTTTCCTTAATCCATATTTCAACACATGACGTGTTTCCTCAGCCCATATTTCAACGCATGGTGTGTTTCCTCAGCCAATGCTTCAACACATGACGTGTTTCCTTATCAAACGCTTCAACACATGCTGTATTTTCCCAGGGATGGGAACGTCAACGTCAACGCCATAGCCCGCCAACCACGTTGGCTGAACTTGGCCAGGCGCTGCATGGGGAGTGGGACACACTCCCATAGATCACCATAATTAGAATCATATGTAGTGTGCCTCGTCGAGAGACACGAACGTCAACTCACCCCTTTCCCCATCAAGACTGTTCACTGCAACATCTCCAGTGATGCTTCCCTACCGTGTTCCCAATTCTTTCATTATTATCATAAATCTATTGAGGGACATTAATGACTCTTACAGTGTTGGGAATTGTTAGCTGTGAACACGCACGCACACACGCAGGCACGCACGAAGGTTTCATGGGTTGTTAAAACATCCGTGTATACATTCATGAACGCCGCGAGTACCTGCCTCCCTGTCAGCGGGCCTACATTAAACTGGTTTCATTTGAGAATGTGGATATAACTAAACAGTTTCCTGCTGTAACGCTGTATCCGGGATTGGATTGAAGTCAAACCCCCCAGGCGATGCGGAGTGTCCGTTTTTGAACGTCATCCTTGACTGCTTTGACAAGACGGAAAACACACAATGTCCCCGTGAGTGAACTGATGAATAATAGGTCAGTTGCACTGGTGGTCTCAACACTGGTCTCAGGTCTGACATTAACCGATGTGCCTGTGGTCAACCTCAGTGAGTGTGTGACACGGGGAGGCTGTCCATCTGACCAGCGTGTGTCGTTGGTCATACTCATTTGTTTGTCACAGACATCGTGATAATGTTGACTGAGGAGAAGAATAAACGTTTATTCCGTCATTAGATTATCTTTCGAAATTCTGATTATAGTTTGTTGTTCAGATACACTTCATTACAAGAATTATGCTATGACCAGAAATTATTGAGAATTTTAGGAATATGTTTAATTGGATTTCTAGCATAAACAACCTTGACCAGCTATCAAGTGCTTGGTTTCATTCAAGAGAGACAACTCCGTTAATCCTTTTTCATTAGTTTGTGAAGAGTTATCCCCCTTTGTTTACTTGCTAGCAGATGACATTATCAGTGATCCTCAGTATGGATGATTTAGAGAAAGGAAGTTGATTTTAGAGTATTATAACAAGGACATCAGATCAGCTAAAGTGATTTCAAGTAAAACAGGCTTCCCTTTGTCCACTGTTTATCGTGTTTTGAAAAATATTGCAAATGGATATGGCATTGAGCACCAGGGAGGCGCAGGCAGGCCCAGAAAATTGACTGTCGGTGACAGGAAGCGGCTTGGTATTCTTGTTTCTAAAAACAAACGAAGTTTAGAAAACTTAAGGCTGGATATGATTGATAGAGGAACTGTGGCTGTCTGTAAGGAGACAATTAGAACTGAGCTGCATGCAATGGTTTGGCCGAAAAGTCGAGGAATTCCATTACCGATCATGAAACCTTAACAAAAGGAGCGAAGGTTGAACAGGTGCATACAGCATAGAAATTTTAACTGGGACAATGTGATCTTCTCAGATGAAAGTTCTGTGTGGCTGTTTCCTAATACACTGAAATTCTGGACCAAACAAACCGAAAAACCTTTGTATCAGCGCCCAAAGTACAGTCCGAAATTTAACGTGTGGGGTGACATCTCTGTGTTAGGGGCAACGCCCCTCTGTGTATTTGAAGGGAATATGAACAGTGAGCGGTACACAGATATTCTCGAGGGACATTTACTTCCATCTGCTAACGTGTTCTATGGAAATGTTTGGATTTTCAAGCAGGACAACGACCCAAAACATCGTTCAAAGCATTCACAGGCCTGGTGTTGGACCCCAAATATGACATTATTAGATTGGCCAAGCTATAGCCCTGACCTAAATCCAAAAGAAAATGTTTGGGGACTTATGAAGGAAAGTGTCAATAAGAAAAATCTGACAAATATTCTTGAAATGAAAGAAGAGGTGGTTCGATATTGGGACAGCATGGACCACGACTTTCCAACTTCTTTGATCAGTAGTATGCCCCGCCGTATTGAAGCCTGCATTGCTGCCCATGGTGATTTGACAAAATACTAACTGTTCACCTGTCTTTGAATCTTTGGTCTGCTAATATTCACATTTAATACGTGAGTAATGAGTGAAAAAATATATAAAAAATTACAATCTTAAATTCTCAATAATTTCTGGTTGCACTGTATATGCACATGAGTGCAATTGAACTACCCGAATGAAATAGCATTCTTGTAAGAACGCCAAGGAAACTCGTTGATAGTCCCAGTGTTTTTATGCTAGCTGACATGGTGGGAGATTGTACTTTATCTACAACTTCTCTTCAACTATTTCTTGTTTACTTCTATGCAGAAAGGATCCCAACAATACATTTTGTTTCAGTACACCAAGAGAGAGAGAGAGAGAGAGAGAGAGAGAGAGAGAGAGAGAGAGAGAGAGAGAGAGAGAGAGAGAGAGAGAGAGAGAGAGAGAGAGAGAGAGAGAGAGAGAGAGAGAGAGTAGAGAGAGAGAGAGAGAGAGAGAGAGAGAGAGAGAGAGAGGTCTAAACTGTATTATTTATAAGTTTAGAAACTTTCATTCATGTGCAGTGACGGGTGTGTGTGCGTACGTAAAATGCATAATTATTCATACGCCGGCCACTTTACTAGTCTTGTCTACATGTCTTGATGATGACATATATTTCTACTTCGTGGACAACTTTGACATTTCACCTGTCAGAAAAGCTGTTTGGTGCGCAAACAGAATATTTCTAAAGTGTAACAAACGGCTGATTGACGTCACGGGCCACATGCCCCCATGGCCTTTAACACGGATGTTTACACACACAATGTATATCCTGTAACCCTCGTTCGTCCAATAGGTGAAGGTTCTTGATAAATGCGTCCTTCAAACTCGCGAATGATAAGCCTGCATTAGCATAATGTTGTCATTTAGGACCTACACTATTAGTATATAAAGCTTTACCCCCTCGGTCAAAACAGACCATCTCGTGGTGTTTTATTTTGAAGATTGTACTATCAGGCACAGCATTATGCCAGTCTTAAGCGCTATCGCTGTTTGCGTCTTGCTTGTTGGATGCAGTGCCGCAGTTCAGGTAATTCGTCAATACTGTTTCTTTACCTTCTGATTTATTACACTTAAATTATACACTTGTATTACTATGTGCAGATCGTGATGATGACGATGATGATGATGATGATGATGATGATGATGATGATGATGATCAGTATTATTTGGAAATTTAGCGTGCGCTTTCCGGAATAATGAGTATTTCGCACACGGAATATGTGTCAGGCGTAAATCGCTCCCTCTTTATAATAGTTATATATGTATCCTTAACATTTTCGTATTCTCAGCTCTTGTATTAAATTTGCATACCATGAAAAGACACGCTAATGCTTTGTTGTTTCCTGATCTCACGCTTAACGTCGATATTAGTCTATTCAGCAATATATTAAGTGTGTGGTTCGTATTATATTTACCAACGAATGTACAACAAAAAAATACAACTAAAAAACATTATCCTATGTCATGTCTTTATAAGGATACCAAGATAATCACACGTCATGTCTTTATAGGGATACCATGTTGTTGGAAAGTTTGGCAACCAGATTATCCCCTTCGACATCACATTCGGCAAGGACATAATGGATGTGAAGGCATATAAACCAGCGAATGCTCCAGACAACTTCAGGGCAACAAGCAACCTTCACGTCTTTTCAACGGTGAGAAACATTTTCCAAACTGGATTAACCCAAATCTTAACATAATTATATACAGATCTGTGTGCCGTTGTACTGTACAACCTTTGCACTACGATTCTTAGAGGTCTATGTTAATGTATGGGAGTTACGATCACCTGACAGTACTACGACCGGCTAAAACAGAATCTCCCGTAAACAATGACGGACGTATCTATATAAGACATGGGTAATGTTTGTCTGATCAGGTTATATTGATAGCGAAGTGTTTCCAACGAAGGATGAAGATGTAGATTACTACTATCACTGTATATAACGTTTGTCTGATCAGGTTATATTGATAGCGAAGTGTTTCCAACGAAGGATGAAGATGTAGATTACTACTATCACTGTATATAAAGTCTGACAGTTCTACACAAATGTGTATACACAGGTACAATTGTGTATACACCTGGTTAAGTGTGTGTCACGTTAATTTCATCAAAACATTGCTTGGTATCGTCACAACATTGACGCTTTCAACCCTGGTATCGTCACTATTTCATGGTGGTTCATAAACACACGGTCTTAATATTGTCGAAATTGTACACTCGACTTTACTTTTATTAGATTTTGTAAGGACATGAAAAGTGTTTTGTCGCATGTATATACTCTGTCGTTTCGTATGGTCATTGTTCAAAACAACGTTAATGTATGATGACAGTTACAACATCACACAACACGTCACAATACATTTCACAAAATGTCTTCACTTCCTATATTAGCTGTTTAACACTACCTGCATGTCACATGTACAAATGGCTTATCGAACGAAGTCTGTCACAATCAGTTTCTTGATTTTTAGCCCAACATGTCGAGAGAATTCTTTAGTTCGTTTGCCCTTATCGCCATTAGCAATGATATTATAATATACTTTGATTTTTTGTCTGAAATTGGTACCCATCTTGTCCCTCGAATCATTTTAATTTATATTGAAACCCGTCTTGCAAACATCCGTGACAAAAACGACGTCCCAGGCAATTCCTTTTGCCATGTGTACCATATGTTGTGAGTTTGAAGTCTTTCCATATGTTTATGACGAGTGCCAGTCTTTCCCGCTGTTTAGGACTGCCACCGGTGTGGCATGATACGATCACATTTTCGCAAACACCTGGTATATCACTATTTGATACTGATTCATTAACACATACTCAGTCATCATATATCATATATACAATCACTGGTTTGTCTGGTCCAGAGTCGATTGTCTGTAGACCGCGTCGTACAGCTGTGGTACTGCTGAACGTCAAACAAACACATACTCATGATATAGTCAAAATTATACAATCGACTCTGCTTTTAGCCGAGATTTCGTACGAAAGTGAAAAGGGGTTTGCCGTTTCTTTTTGCAGAATTTTGTTGCCATAAAGAATGCAGCCGATCAACAGTGTTACATTCAACGATTCAACGCCACAATGGCAGGCATGAAGAATCGTGTAGAAGAGGCTAAACGTGTAAGTTTGGAAATGCTTTCTATTTAATCAAGTTGTCTTGCTTATATTGTCAAGAATGATAGAACGACGTTAAATGCTTAAGTTGTACTTGAAGGTTAACGATAGGTGGCATCAAAGAGTAAATATACGTGCCCCTGACAGTGTAGGGCCTGATAAATGTACTCTACCTTGTACTACTCGGTCAGGGTACTACGTGGTACCAACAACTGTGGTTAATGCATACTGCAGGGTATCCATACAGTAAGGAGCGGTGCTCAGCATATCGACCACTGTTTTATATGACCGATATGATAAGAAAAAACACAGATTCACTCTCAGTTTGTTCAATAGGCTAATGGTGTGCTGGACGGCGTTAAAGAGGAATGGGTGAGAGCAGATAAACTATTTCCCCTGAAGACGTGGACCGTCGAACTCCTCTTTGGACAGCAAATAGCTGACTTCTGTGCAGATCATGCAGTATTCCTGGTTGACAGCAGCTACTCCGGATTAGTTGATCCAACACGTATGTACAACTGGTCATCTTAGCCCATAGCCTCGTTCGTTTATATTGTGTGCATATAAGCATCACGGATAAATAACATTTCGTAGCGAACGTATTTATTAGCCACCTTGTCTCAACTCTCGAATGATGTAACAACACATTAAAATCCATGCCCCGAAAATCCCTATGTGGAAAAAAGGTTCACTGTACAAAAGAATCCCGAGGAGCCAACGCATCATTTCTTGAAAGCAGCAGACTTGTATACGCAATTTCATGTACGAAAGTGATCCATTTCGGATTAGGTGACGTAAGGTCGCAGGACCTATAGGTGTATCTGAAATGGATCGGGTTACACAAATGCTACGTTGTGGTGTGGCCCAAACCCATTTCACTACTGTGTTTATGTGTTCGGCACTTCAAGGGTGATATCACAGAATCACGAGTAAGTGAGTCTAGTATTACGCCACCTTTAGCAGTATTCAAGCTATATCACGTTGGGGGATACCAGAAACGGGGCTTTATGCATTGCACCCATTTGGTGAATCCAGCCCGGGTTTTCGGCGTAAATGTGGACGATTTAACCATTAGGCTACCCCCCGTCCTACGCGGAATCCCGAAACCGGCCTGTTCTGATGAAGACTGCTGCTTTACTTTGTCATGAACTGAGAGGTTTTTGTTCAGATGTGTACACCCCTCACTACTAAAGCAGGGGGTTACTCCGTGGTAAAAACGGCATATTTCAACACATACGAAACACTGCTATAAAGCTAACTCCTTTCTGTCACGATTCAGTTTAATGATATTGCTTTTTCAGACGTCAACCCTAGCATGCGAAGAAAGAGAGGATTATTCTTTAATTGGAGGCCAAAAGTCAAGTGCGTACTACAGATAGCACAACGCGTTACAAGCGGCTACGTGTATGATCCTTGTAACACCAACTTTCCAATAGTCTGTTAGACCAACTGCATGCTTCACAACAAAGAGACAAGACCCAATGGTGCCAACTACTGTTTGCTGATTCAGTTGTTGCAGGAAGTAAGGCCAAGTCAAGTACCTGTTTGTGATGCCATCCAAGTATCACATAAATCGGCATTTCAAGATGAATATATTTTTGTCAATAAAACCATATTTTTGTTATGTCATGTTTGTTTCTCAACGTTCCGGAAGAGAGTTAAAGTGTTTATGGCTATATCACGGCGCTATGATTCACGTGAACCAAATCGTCAGTACATTGAAGATTGAAGACCTTGATTGTTATCATCTTGTGAGAAGTGTGGAATAAGCACTTCATTGAAATGCTTGTGCATACGTTCAGAAAATATGCTAAAATTGTTATGCTAAGAAACTGCATTATCTGCAGCTGTTTTTCTATGTGTGATGGGACTTTCTGGTATACCAGTCGTGATATGGTAGGAATATCGTTCTTAAAGAGCGGCATAAAACCTCATCCAACTGACTTAAACATTTCCAATTCTTCTTCTGACAGCTAAAAGGGAGGGATGCATTTAAATGAGCTATCAAACTGTTCTCGCTCAGAACAGTTCCGTAGAGGGTATCAATACTGTTGGGGATCTATGCTGAAAAGGTCCTGGATGATAACCTTCCTATGTGTTAAACAAGAGGCTGAAAGGGTTTAGTAAAAACAGAAAAGCATAGGGCTAAAGAATCGCCCCGAAATATTCCTCTACATTACTGTCGGAAATTGAAAAAATCCAATTGTTTTAGGCTGTTACTCTGTATTCCTAAAATGTACACAATTGCAACAGCATATGTGGAAATAACCCACATCGGCCTAAAAGTGCGTTCAGTGGGATGCGTAATCTGATATCGAGAAAAATCATGTTTACTCGTAAAATCGGGCAAAACTTAGAAAAAATACGAATGGTTGCTGAAAACAGTAGATTAGACTATAGATGGCAATTAGGTTGCTCAGCCAGGTATGACGTCGCCCGGTTGTCTCACATGGCATGAAATGTCACGAGGTGTCATCGTAAAGATATTTTATGCTTTTACATGTGTGTTGAATATGTCTCATCTATTGATTAACATCTTACGTGTCCTTCTTTCACAAAGTTTAAATTGAGATATGTAAAAGAGAATGATGCCCAAAGAAAAGCTTAAATCAGCCAGCGTATTATATGTCTCAAAATATATAGGTGGCATGACCTGCCGAAGATCAAGAGGACTGGATATTATTTGTAAATTGATATGACATGCCGTTTACTTCCCCAGTTTAATTTCCCTAAAGGATTATCTTATCTTGGCTGATATCTCTATCCCCAAGCCCGACCCAAACCACGGTCTGCGACACCCTCTCAACATATAACAGATTAGTTACGTTCTAACATGGCCTGTAGTGTTTAGGTGTCATCAACCTCTGAATCACTGGAGTCCGACGTGGAAACGTTCAGAGATATGACGACGGGTCTGACACAACCGACGCCGACGCGATCCCGCTGTCGATCACTGGTGTAATTCTGGCAAAATATTCATAGACTAGATGTTTGACATCGAACATCAGAAAGGACGTGTTGTGACTGGCTACAAAGCCCTTATAGTTAGCCCTGATCAGCTCTATCGGATTCAGCTCACAATGTCTCACTGGAGTCCGTAAGACAACGTGGCCATGCTGCTGTTCTAACGTGTGTGATCGGTAGACTATGGCTTTACCTTTACCAGATGGAATGGTTGGGGCCTTGTTGTATGTACCATCTGGTGGTAGCCACATGTGATCCGTGGAGTGATTCTTGTCCATCCATGTCTCGTCGAGGTATACTATCTGAAAACCCAACTCCCGATATTCGGCGATGCTTCTGAGATAGTTTGACCTGAGGTTGAGGATTCACGAAACACTCTACGGTCATCTCCCCTTGCTTTATACCTAAACCCCATTTCATGGAGAGCAGTGATAAGAGTTGTTCCAGATACACTAATGATATCATATATATCTTCCCTGAAGGTACGGAAGGTTGGTGGTATCTTCCTGTCATACAACTTTTACACTGTTCTCCTTATGATCCCCTTATCAAAGCTATCCAATTTGTGCTTGCGTAGTGGTTTTGCTTTTGAGACCCCCCCACCCAACCCCCCCCCACACCTGTTTCTTTATGTCAAGCCAAGGGTTGCATAAAGCCATGATCTGTTCCAAATAAGTCGCTTTGGAGTTTCTGCACCCATGTCTCCTTAGTAAGGTCCTTTTTCACGCTTCCTATCCCCCTACCACTGTGTCCAGTGGTGTAGTGGTACGAACGTCCGCCCGGAGAGCGGAAGGTCGCGGGTTCGATCCCCGACCGCGTCATACCAAAAGACGTTAAAATGTGGTACTTGTTTGTCCCTGCCTGGCGCTCGGCATTAATGGGTACAACAAGGACTGGTCGGCTCGGAGTCAGTATAATGTGTCTGAGTGGGGTATTCATGCTTCACTGCGGCATGGTATCTCAGTGGGCTAGCACTATAAAACCAGCTTCAGTCTTGGCTAGTACAAGCAGCCGCACATACACATACACACGCATGCACGTCGTCATATGAGCGAAATATTCTCAAGCACGACGTTAAACCCAATTTCACTTCACCTCACCCTACCACTGTGATTGTAGTTAGGCCGAACTTAGTTTATCAGCTATTTCACACTTTCACATACTAACTACATAAACAGTTTTTTTAATTTCCGAAAGTTCTTGAGCAGGAATGGGTTCTGAAGTCAGCACCTGTCCTTTCGAATACATCTGAAGTAGGATTGACCAGCAAATAAAGACGTGAGCAAAACAAGTAATCGCTCAGGGAGGAAAAAAACCCATTCTACTGACATAACAATCCATAATTATAAGCTTTACTGTTGATTATTTAACACATTGAGAGCTTACACTGCACTGGTACGGTTTATATACAGTTTTAACCAACAACTGATCCGCTTTGAACAGTTTATTTAGTTCAATAAAATTATTTTGCTTGTCTCATTTCAACTGTTTCTTCATGGTATAAAGCATTTGATTTAAAGTTGTTGTCTTTTGTTGTCTTGTATTTTGCGTTTAATTTATTCCATACTGTTTTTTTCATACTTTGTCATTGATTGCCCCGAGGAACGTACTTTTATGCAAAGTTACATCCCGTATCTTTCCTCGTCTCACTTAGTTTGTTTTGAAACCTAACTGTCTGGGGTTGAATTTCTTTATCAGCATTTCTTTGGTCATTATCTTTAGTGACTGCACGGTGTTCCTCCGAGCAACAGTATACACGCAACAGTTGATGGCATACAGAGAACAGTTGATTGCATACAGGGAACAGTTGATGTCATACAGGCAACAGTTGATAACATACAGGCAACAGTTTATGTTATACAGGGAACAGTTAATGTCATACAGGGAACAGTTGATGTCATACAGGGAACAGTTGATGTCATACAGGGAACAGTTCATGTCATACAAAGAACAGTTGATGTCATACAGGCAACAGTTGATGTCATACAGGCAACAGTTGATGTCATACACGTAACAGTTTATGTCATACACGCAAGAGTTGATGTCATACAGGGAACAGTTGATGTCATACACGCAAGAGTTGATGTCATACACGCAACAGTTGATGTCATACAAAGAAAAGTTGATGTCATACACTCAACAGTTGATGTCGTGCAAGGAACAGTTGATGTCATACACTCAACAGTTGATGTCGTGCAAGGAACAGTTGATGTCATACACGCAACAGTTGATGTCGTGCAAGGAACAGTTGATGTCATGCACGCAACAGTTGATGTCATACACTCAACAGTTGATGTCATGCACGCAACAGTTGATGCCATGCACGCAACAGTTGATGTCATACACTCAACAGTTGATGTCGTGCAAGGAACAGTTGATGTCATACACTCAACAGTTGATGTCGTGCAAGGAACAGGGAACAGTTGATGTCATACAGGCAACAGTTGATGTCGTGCAAGGAACAGTTGATGTCATACAGGCAACAGTTGATGTCGTGCAAGGAACAGTTGATGTCATACAGGCAACAGTTGATGTCATACAGGGAACAGTTGATGTCATACAAGGAACAGTTGATGTCATACAGGGAACAGTTGATGTCATACAGGCAACAGTTGATGTCATACACGCAACAGTTGATGTCATACACGCAAGAGTTGATGTCACACAGGGAACAGTTGATGTCATACACGCAAGAGTTGATGTCATACACGCAAAAAGTTGATGTCATTCAAGGAAAAGTTGATGTCATACAGGCAACAGTTGATGTCGTGCAAGGAACAGTTGATGTCATACAGGCAACAGTTGATGTCGTTCAAGGAACAGTTGATGTCATCCAAGGAACAGTTGATGTCATACACTCAACAGTTGATGTCATGCACTCAACAGTTGATGTCATACACGCAACAGTTGATGTCATACACACAACAGCTGATGTCGTGCAAGGAACAGTTGATGTCATACACGCAACAGTTGATGTCGTGCAAGGAACAGTTGATGTCATCCAAGGAACAGTTGATGTCATACACTCAACAGTTGATGTCATGCACTCAACAGTTGATGTCATACACGCAACAGTGATGTCATACACGCAACAGTTGATGTGCAAGGAACAGTTGATGTCATACACGCAACAGTTGATGTCATGCAAGGAACAGTTGATGTCATACACGCAACAGTTGATGTCATTCACACAACAGTTGATGTCATGCACGCAACAGTTGATGTCATGCAAGGAACAGTTAATGTCATGCAAGGAACAGTACCCATTCCTAGAAATAATTTCATTTGATTTATCAAGTTGATGCTGTGGGAATGATTTGTTAAATTGTTTGATTGGTCTCCATGTCTTGATAAATGAATCACAGAATGATCATTGACAGAAGACGGAGTCCGAATCGGAAGAAAGTTCAAAATCTTCGAGGCCAGTGTAACAATCTGGGATTACCTCATAGGTAATTGACTGGTACGCCGAACACCTGATATTTAAGAACAAAACTTTAGCTACTTAGATGAAGCAACACACCACTAAGGGCTGAAAATAGGATCAGTAAACAGTACAAGGTATTGGAATCCACTGCACTTGGTTGTAGGTCACAGTATCAATAACCGCACTTACACCCACAAAGCTGGTTTTCCCCCGACGTACCCCCATGTATCTACGTCAGTAAAATATTGACCTCGTGTGAACAGACTGTTCAGTTCAGGTGTGCTTAGAGCAAACCTAAGTTCAAGTGATAGTAAAAGTAATTGGACACTGTCATTCGCAGACTCGCCCAATTTCCTTTAATTTTCAACTGACATGCCTGAACAATGCATCAGATGAAAACAAATATTTTGAAAATGATTTATTTGGGAAGTAACTAATAAGAAGAACAAATGCGATTACATGTCTGCTTCGTAGGGTTGATTAGTAAAATATTTGCACTACAAAGAGAACCAGGTGGTAAGTCGTTGTGGCTTGTCTCACTGCTTGTCTTCAAAATCGATTTACCATGTCCATATTCGATTATTTAAAAGCAGGTCTCGATTTTGTTTGGGCTGTGACATTGAAACTACATTCTAAAATATAACCTAATGATATAAAGACAAGTGTACTCAAACAACATTACATAGCTACTCCTTGAAATGAACACATCATATTATGAGAGCGGCAGTAAAGTGAATGGAAACAAAAAACAGTTTTATAAGGTTTAGATATGATACAAGCAGATGTTAGTAAGGTAATAGGTATTATGTGCACACTTTAGTGAACGAAGCATCTTCACTAAACCTCATTCTCTGTACGTCTACTTAAATAAACTGAGGAAACGCTTCCCCATAGTCTTCATGCCATCGGTGAATCTACGAAGGGTTGATTCATCTTCATTCTGTATGTTTTCCCCTTTCAGCTTTTCTTACTTGTTGTGCCCTCAAATCACATTCTACTTGAAACCGGTCGTCTGTGACTTCATCTTCTACTCTCTTCCTTTCAGCAAGTACGCTCTTGACCTCCTCCGCAACACTTGCCAGTTGGTGTTGAATTTGCATTCTCTCCCCACCTTCAGCCTTTTGCATCTGCTGTACAAGCTTGCTCTTCTTTGCCTTCATCTCCATTTCCTTCCGTACCATCTCCTCCATGGTCCTCTCATTCTGTCTAACTACCGAACCCTTTCTGACATGCTTATCCCGCTCTTCCTTCAGTTTCAGTTTAAGATCTTCCATTTGTTTCACATTGGCTTCGTGGAGCTTCTCATAATATTCTCTCTCCTTCTTGATCTCTTCGCGCAGTTCTTCCTCAATTTCCCTTCTCATCTCTTGTTCTTTCTCAGCTCTATCTCTCCGGATCCTCTCTTGTATAATTTCCTCTGCTTCTTGAAACATCTTCGACGTGAAATGCTTCCTTCCATTCTTGTCGACCGTATCTTTGATGCGTTCTAAAAGGCATTTTACATCAGCTTCTTTTTCAGATGCGTCGCCTCTGTTGTTTAAGGTGACATATCCGCCACCAGTATTACTTAGAATCTGCTTTAATTTGTCTGGAGCGCCTTGAATGTGTTCCTCAACTGTTTTAGGTTTAATTTGATCTCTTCCAGTAAAGACAATGACCATGTACTTGAGCACATGTTCCCCAAACATGTCGTCAATTTCGTCAAAAACCTTTCCTTCTTCTTCGGTGAACCTGTTGGTTAAGGATGAAACCAACAAGAAGACATGTGGTCCTGGAGCCGAAATTGCAATACATTTCTTAATTTCCATATCAATAACCTCCTTCTTTGTATTGGTGTCAAATAACCCAGGAGTATCAACAATCAGGATGGCGTTGCCAAACACCTCGCGACGATTAAAGTCGCATTTTGTGGTAACCGAGGACATAGATGATCTTGAGTCAAAAACCTTCTCATTTAGTATTGTGTTTGCTGTTGCACTCTTTCCCGCTCCAGTTTTACCTAGCAGTACGAGTCTCAATTCGCCCAATTCTGAAAGACATAATGCTGTTATTAATGTATTATATTATATATACACGCATATACCAGATATAATTGATTGCTTATGGCTGATATATGATATATCCTATAGTTCGGGTCATGACAGAACTTCACTATCCAGAAACTCCAGACATGATTTTGCATGTACCTGTTCCATACAACGTTGGTCAAATATTTTGAAAACAAAAATGAATGACCAAAGTATGCGTATATATACTAGCAACATAAAGAAACTGTGCATTGTCAAAATATTATCTCAGTTGATAAGTACGATAACAATGTCAAAGGGACATATAAACTTTAATGGAGGGATCATGAGACCACAACAAGTCAGGAGAATTTCAATTGAAAAGTCAATCACAATGACGTCACGAGTCCACAAGCGGGACAGGGGTAAAACGACCATGTCACAAGCTCAATAACGGGTATGTCCACCATCGGCATTAAGAAAAGCAGTGCATCGACGACGCATAGAGCCTATCAAACGTGCAAGGAAGGCTTGTCGGATGTCACGCCAGATTCTCTCAAGTTCTGTTGCAAGGTCAAGGACGTTATCTGGCGGATGAGGAAGACGGAGCAGACGTCGATCCATCTCGTCCCAAACATGCTCTATCGGGGAGAGATCCGGTGAATTTGCAGGCCAAGGCAGTAAGTCAACGTTGTGGTGTTGCAAGAAATCCATAGCAATCCTTGCCGTATGAGGGCGGGCATTGTCCTGTTAGAATGTTAACCCAGGGCCATGACGTTGCAGAAAGGAATTGCCACAGGTCGAAGAATCTGATCCCTGTAGCCCACAACAGTTAAGTTGCCCTGAACAATCACCAAAGGAGTTCTTTGGCGTGCTGTTATTCCACCCCAAATCATCACGGAACCACCACTAAAGCGATTCCTCTCCAAGACACAGGCCTGTGCATAACGTTCTCTCACGCGTCTATAGGCACGTTGACGTCCATCACTATTGGAAATGTTAAAACCTGGACTCATCTGTAAAAACAACATTTCTCCACCAAAACAAGGGTCTGCGGACATGATTTCGGCACCACATTCGGCGAGCTTGTCGATGACGTTGTGTCAGGATAGGCCGTATGGCGGGACGTCGTGGTCTGATCCCGTGATGACGTAAACGTTGTCGAACTGTGTTGGGGTGGATACGGCGAAGTCCTGGGATGGTTCGGGCAGTCATCACTGCAGTCTGAAATCTGTGACGAAGATGGGTCACCCTTATCCATCTGTCCTGTCTTGGCGTTGTTACACGTGGACGTCCAGAACGAGGCCGATCGATGACGTCATTTGTGTTCTGGTAGCGTATCACCAGTGCAGAAATGGTGTTCCGCTGGCAGTGGAAATGTGCAGCCACTTGTCGTTCAGACATTCCCCCACGGACCATCCCAATGGCCTCATGACGTTGTGCAGACGTGAGCCTTGGCATGCTATGCGTTTCAATAGCCGTTTAATTTTTTGAACGATCGCAAGGGCAGGGGGTTGAACTTTCCAAAGTGACAGTATTGTGTGGCATTCATTTGCTCTGTTTCTCTTTCCCGGAATGCACGTGCAACAACGTATTGCACGTCTCAAGGACGAACCCACTGACGTCACGGAACGTGGCACGTGCATGCATGTTGGATACATGTCACTAATCTCTGAGTTTAAATCCTTATGTGTCTACACAGGTTTGATCAATTTAGATTTTAAATTTTTGTATGCAGTTTCTGAATGTGCCTAGTATATAAACATAAAGCCAATGTACTATGAATCTATGTAACACATATGAGACACAGCTAAGCACATGAATCTTCTTTGAGGTCCTAGACCAGTAGACTTACCTATTCCTTGTCGTGAGGGTTTTGGAACAGGGCTGACATGGGCGATCTTCTGTCTTGGTTTACTGTAGACAGGGTGTTTAGAAGCCGGATCATTCGGGGTAGAACATGGAACTTTTGACATCCCTTGTGCACCTTCAAAAACGAAAAGAAGCAGAATTTACATGTTCATAAAATCAATGACAAACACGATAATAATCTGGTTCCCATGTTCAATGTATTGCCACCCAGTGCCAAAGTATGGTTTAATTAACAACAAATAATAACGTGTTTCTCTGTTACGACAAACAGGGTAACAAAGCATAACTCTTTTAATTAAAAGATGTACGTTGCTAAAACCAAGGAAATAAATATGAAATTTTTCAGGTAAACCTTAAGATCTAAATGTGGAAACTGTCTTATCTATAATAAACATGATTTGCTTTTTATATACGTTGCCCTAATATTGCAACAAAATAGACAATTAAAACCATAATCGCATGACGTTTCAGCTAAGAGTGGAATTCATACCTTTTGCAACAGACCTCTTCCTGATCAATTTGGATGTTCCGCATCCTTGGCAAGTGTCATGGGAGACATCGTTGTTATGGTAACAGTTTGAACATACCCACACTGAAATATGGATGATTTTCATCAAGAGAACGCACGATGTGAATATCTTTGGTCACTGTTGTTGCAATATCGATAAGGGTGTAATGTTCAAAATGATACCAAAGTATTTATGACGAGCATACACTATGCATTAGCTCAAACTTGCAGACAATTACAAAAGCATGAACTCAAAATTCTAAAAACATCCTTTCATTATGGGATAATAATTATCATATGATTTGTGTGGCACTTTAAACGTTGCATTACCAATGACGTATTTAATTCTTCTGTCCTTATTTTAGCCTTAATCACTAGTCTGAGCAATCATTTTTTTACAATGTAGATATTGTGTCTGCACACTATCAAAGTTCGGATTGAAATGATTCAGAAAACAAAATGCAACAGTCATCTCTTTCTGTTCTGGAATGGTCTATTAGAAACACATAAAGGGAAATCGACAGAGTTCTCTCCCCTTAAAGCTTTAACGTTCCGCGCTTGTTTTCGAAACCAAACACCACAGTTGACGCAAAACATTTTTTATGGATAACAACCAAGTATTTCATTGTATCGTAGTGTTAGGGTTCTTTCATCAGAATAGCCATGTTGATTTCATGCATGTTATGCTGACATAAGACTTGAGTAATCTACAAACATAACACTATAGTTACCACCCTGACGATATTTGCGGACGTAATACCATACCTCGATACCATCACTCAAAGAGACCAATGACACTGATATTATGAAAAATCTGTCAGTTCTTAAAATAATCATTTCTTCTGGGTACAGTTAGGGCTGCGCAATATAACCGGTTTACCGGTATTTACCGGTTCAGACATGAAAACGATACGTATTGCGATACGCTGATCGAAAACCGGTATTTTGACATCTATTCGGAAAACTTCGTAACAGTCGGAAATCTTCGGATATTTCCGTTTTTTTAATTGTTCTTTTCCCTGTTTCATTAGTGCCAAATGTTACTTACATTTTTATTTTGTCATGATTAAAAGTTTTTATAAAAGGTTAATCAATCATAGTGATTTTGTTGTGTCTTTGCTTTATAATCAAGCATTAACTCGATTATAAGTATTTTTTGTTAAAAAAATAATCCTTGCAATATATTGCAATACATATCGCAATATATGCTTCCGCATCGCAATATATCGCAATATGAAAATTCTCTGCAATACCCACCCCTAGGTTCAGTATAAAAATTATTTTCCCCTCTTAATTGACAACACTTTCTCAGTAACGTACAGATTCAAGTGCATTTTTAGGCTGATTGCAATCCGGGATTCGACCCCACAATCTCAGAGTGAGGTATCAAATCTCCAGCTCACAAAGTCAGCAGTCTAACCCACAAAATCACAGCAGATCCCAAAACAATCAAAGTCTTGACGACTGGAAGTCCTCATTACGTCCTTTGTGTGCCTGTCCTCACATACAAATACAAAGGTAAAAAACTGTTTTCGTAAAGTCTATTGCTATAATTACTTCACATGTGTTTCCTAGTTTGCTTCTACTGTTCAAATGGTACGAAACAACAACTCTATTTATGAAGTAGGAGATACTCATCATTAACTTCAACTTTCCAAAACTTGAATGGATATTTGTGTCCAGGAACAGTTGCATGATGATAATGAACGAATTGGCAACCCATTTCGGATGTATGACAGAAAATGTTATGATTCCCAACAATCTTGAAGGACGATAGGCATAAGGTGTGAATTTAAAAGTTTTTTAATTAGTAGTGCGTAATGCTACAAGTCAACAAGGCACACTGTGTGTGATCTCACTATTGATTCTGCTGTAGGCGAGCACAGTGAACGCAAGTTTTGCCGTCTCCAAAAACAAGACGTCTACGTCTTGCAAACGGAATAAGAGATTGTCTGCATACTGTCCATAGGACTGTCCGCTGGACCTGATACCTGCCCAACTACTCCACCGCCTCTGTTATGCCTATGGAAGTGCAAAGTAAATCGGGACTCTGTGACCTGTGACCTGTGTTGGCATTATGACGATTCGAATAGAACGTGGAGATGACCTACATGATATCTAATCGTTTGACCCGTTTTTGACTCCAGTTGCCTAACGAAACTGCCGTTTGAGCTTGTTTCCTTCAGCATTGGTTTAGATCAATCTGTCATGCACTCTTGGGGTTGACACCAGACGCTCTGGGTGATGTCGAACCATCACCTTTTTGTCAATAATGAAGCACACGATTTTATGGACAACTTCTTGTTTATTCAATATTACATGCTGTTGTCACAAATATTCGTATAATACTTCTACGACAGTACTATAATGCTCCAATGATAGGCATATTTAGCAGTAGTTTCATTTCTATAATAGCTGCACTAATTAATCAATATGTTTTTCTTTATCAGCAGATCAAGAAAAATAGAAAATACAGAGTAATTTCTAGTGGCGTCATTAATGAAGGGTCAAATGATATGTACACATGAAAAGAAAAGTTTTTCAGAAATAATAGAACTAAGAGTGTCGGACGGGTAGGGCCATACTTACTTGTGAAGTAGGTTAGTATAAAAAGATACACAGAGGTACCCTCGAGCTACTTGCTACAGGACAACGCCAGAGCAGGCAACCCTAGACACCCACTGGCGCCAGGGCTTTCTGAGCTGTTAGCGCAACGCGAGTCACAGACTGTGTGAACTAACAGCGTACGTAAACAAAATACCCCGTCACAGGGTTTGTTTATTTAACATACAAAGTGCATGACAAACGCTGATACTGGAACGCGTCAAGTCTGGCGAGACTTCGCGATCCGACCAGTGTTGAGCAAAGGCTAGGGGACTCAGGGAGGACAGTCCATCCAGATCCTGAGGCGCAAAATCCCGAAGGTAGTGGTTGGCGAAGGTGGTGTCTCCAGCCAAGACACAGCCTCGCATGATGTCCGACACAGAGATGTTAGCATGCAAGGCCATGGTCGACGCAAAAGTTCGAACCTCATGAGGACTGGAGCAAGATGGTGGCGGAAGTCCATCTTTCTCATGAGGATCGCAACCAATGCCAATGTTTTTCTTCCCGATTCCCTTATCCGACTAGGAAGGAATAGTATCTTACGAGACCCCTGCAGGGTCTGTGTGCGATCTACATAGAGATGTTAAGCACGAACTGGCCACAGGAAAGATCCTCCACATCTTGATGATTCCTCAGAGGCACAAGGGAAGAAAAAAGAATTAGCTAGGTGGATGTTGGTACTTTGCTATGAAATCCACGAGAAGACCCAAATGAACACCGCCATGACCTGTGTGGCATTAATGGCGTAAATCTCAGATGATCGAGCTGCCGCTGCTAAGGCCACCAGGAACACCGTCTCCATTGTAAGATAAAGAAGAAGAGCGTCTTCAAGTGGTTCACCTGCCAAATAGGTGAGAACCACTGATAACTGAGTCCGAAACGTGTTCACCTGGTCTTGTTGAGGATAGCTTTAAGCTCAGGGGCACTCGTCAGAGAGGGGCCAGCTTTAGACAGCATAGAACCCACACCAGTTGTGATCATGGTGGCTTTGAAGTTTCGTTTGTTCTGGAGGAAAAGGAGGAAGTCTGCAACCTGAGCAACCAAAGCCGAAGAGGCTACGATCTGCCAAGACTTACAGTTAGTCAAAATGAACCCCACTGCTTGTCACAGAGCATCTCAGTGGAGGTCCATGGAAATAGATGAAGCCCTACCTTGAGAGAATCCTCTCTTCACTAAACCGCCGTTAATATGTGCAGCACAAACCATTCTGGCTCCGGGTGAAGTCTTCTCTTGTGTGGGCACGACCAAAGGAGATTGATGGACTGGATCTTTTCCACTACTTGAGCACGAGGCATGGGGGAGGAAAGGCGTACACAGCCAACCCATCCCAGCTGACTACAAGAGCGTCCAGATCCCATGCGTGAGGTTCCAGTACTGGAGGGATGAACATCTCCAGCTGCTTGACCAGATGGGTTGACCCCAGAGATCTGCTATCTGTCAAACGACGGTTTGATGCAGCATCCACTATATGTGTGGATGGAGATCTGGACGAGTCAGGGCGTCTGCCAGAACGTTGGTTACACCTGGAATGTGACGCGCTTTCAGTTGAATTCTGAACTTGTCCTCATAGCGAATAGACAGACGGTCAGGGTCAGTAAAGACGCTGTCTCGTTGAGCCTTGTTTGTTGATGAATGCCGCAAACTTTGCTTTGTCAGTTGCTTGTCTGCCAGCTGAAGTTTCCAGCGATCTAAGGCTGGGATCACTGCCAGAAAGTCCAGGTTGTTGATGTGAAGACGTTGTTGTTCTTCCGACCACAACCCGGCTGATGTCGCCGCGTCCAAATGAGCGCCCCACCATTGGAAAAAGTTGGTGAGTAGCCTCAAATAGCAGCAGGAAGAATCTGCTTTGAACATTCGATAGTCTGAGCCACCATTCTTGGTATTGGTAGAAACTGGGGGGACAAGGGATCCGCATGAAAAGGTTCTTACAACCGACCCACAGAGTCAGAATTCTCTGAAGAAGTCCAAGCATCAGGCGTCATCAGGCCGTCAGATCCTGAGCGGAGGTGAGAAGGCCTAATAGGCGTTGCCACTGTCTCAACCTGAGGGGATCAGGGGTTGGTAGGCGCGAAGCCTCTCTTGGGGAACTACCAGACGACCAATGTCCTTCCGGAAGTGACCACCAATGAAAACGAGTGACTGAGATCGAGTGATGCCCACTTGTACAAGTTGACAAACCTCTGAGGAGACTCCTTCCTCTTTGGCTTGGCAAATGTAATTCTGGAGGAGCGAAATGTAGGCTTCTTAGGAGTCGCTGACAGTACGATCTTCTGAGAAAAATTCTCAACTCTCTTGGTCGTGAGGTCGACCCGCTGCACCTGTTCTTACTTGACGTCTGCTATATTGACCTGGCAAAAAGTTGATCTGAAGCAGGGGACGCACAGTGAAGTTCTGTCTTCAGATGATCATTAAGCTTTGCAGTAAGTAAGTGAGGGTGGGCAATGGGAATTCTCCTCCTGACCCGAGCTGTCATTGAAGGAGCCAAGCCAGAATGAGGAAAAGTCGCAGCCACAACCTTCTTTTCCACAGTCAACGCAAAATCCATTGAACTATGAGTGGGTAACACAAGATTCCCCAATCTGGGGGTTGGCATTATGGGCTCTCCGCAAGGTCTCCTCCGAGGTTCTAAGTGTGACTGGCTCCACTTGGAGAAAATATCAATGACCTGGATATCCTCTGAACATGGGAGGGAGGAGGGAGGAGAAACCAGATCCTCATCACCAGAAGCACGATCTGGAGAGGCGCCAAGCCATGCCAAGACAACCAACGGGAAGAGGCATACACTCATCCTCATCCTCAAAAGGGCTCCATGGGATGATGGGATTCGAAAAAGAACCAGCAGTTGAAGACTGAAGACAAGATTTAGATGGCGCTGAGGAAAACACCTGCGCTGTGGTGTCCAGCTGCTTCTGAAAACCTGCAAAGCCTCTCTCAAAGTCTGGAAGACAGTGACTGCCGACATGGGAAGTGGCGACAGGTGACAGGTGACAACCTTGAATGGTAGTGTCTAGAACTGGACGATGGCGAGTGGTGCTACAATGTCTGGCACCAAACCTGCGCCCCCCGTCTGATCTGTAAGGAGAACGACCGCGACTCCTTGACCGAGCGTGGGCGACCTGCTCCCCACAAAAGGTGATTCTGAACGACAGCGCTGCTCAGCTACCTGGCGCTGATCAGTAGACTGGCGCCCATCAGAAGACTGGTGCTGGTCTGACGAATGGCGCTTTGATGGCGCCTGACGCTGATCTGAATGCTGTCGCTTGTCTCCGAAGCTTAGCATTGATCACAAGGCATGCGTCTAGACTGCTGTTGCTGGCGCTACTCGACCACTCTGAGGTAAGCTGCAAACTCTGGGCACTTATCCTTCTTGGGTGCACATCCCGTCTAAGCAGTCAGAACACCAACTAAGTGGATCCTTCCACTCTTGGGGAGATGACAGCTGTCACACATGGTGGTAAACACCGACAGTGTCTCCGACTGTGAAGGCTCCAGCAACAGGTCCGCCATCTGCGACTAATCAACATGTAAACAAACTGATCAAACACGCAGCGTGACAGAAAATACGAATCTAACACCAAAATACAGTTGTGTAACAATCAAAATTGAAACACAACCTCAATGCAACACAAGACAGGCCTGATGAAAGAGTCATCATTGAAAAAATATCAAAGAAAAATCGTGAACACAACATCTCAGCAATTTTTTTTGAAGAAGGACTGCACAGTGCACACAAATGACAGATACTGCTATAGTGAAAGCACGTTTATTTAGTAAAGTAGGCTTCTAGTGAACTAGAAGGAAAATGCATTTGTTGTAAAGCAGAGTAAGTTAAAAGAATATGTTACATGTTTCTTAATGTTGTGACAAAAGGTACCACTGTCTTATTTTGGGTGAAACGACTCCCAAAAGCGAATCAATCTTCCAATCACTCCCCTTCGTTTTGGTTTCACTCTGGTAGCATGTCCTTCGTTTTGAGCTATAAGTAAAGAAAGAAAGCATGTTTTAATGCCTACTAAACAGCAAAGTGTACTTTGTAATCTATTATTCATAGAAAGACACAAACACAGACGCACATGTATTTTACAACCACAGAAAAATGATTCTACTGTTACAACTGAATTAGAGAATCAAGGATCACACAGAACATATTATAATTGTAAGATTGCATTTAACACATACCACCATCTTGGACGAGCGTATCTGTAGAGAGGTGTTGTTGTACTTTTGGAGATGTAGGCTTTGGTTTTAACTTTGGCTTGGGTCCTCTTTCATGTTTGAGAGAAGCAGCTCCTGAAAATAGGGTGCATGTTACTGAGTGCTTGAGAGTTAAGAATGTATCACACAGAGAGGAATGAAGAACTCTTAAACATTGACTGAGTCAGGGGTGATAAAAAAAGAAATATTCAAAAATATTTTACCTTCTCTTGAATTTGTTTTGCAGACTGTGTCCCCCGATACATCCTTCTGTCTTGTGTATATTTTACTTTGGGGTTTGCTTGGCCCTGTGATGACACAAAAATAGGCTGATTCAATCATATGCATAAAAATATTGATCACAGAAACTGAAATATGCTGTTTATACATATCCTCGTAATTACTCTTACCATTTAAATAGTTACACAATGTCTTTATGAAAATAGTCATACTTATAACATAAAACACAAAAGTGAGAATCCAAGCAGTATATTGTACAAAAGTGTACATACCACATCCTGTTGTAATATCTCTCCGTTGAGTGTTTAACGCTAAAATAGGGGCAGTGATGCTTTGTTCAGCCCGCCTCTGTCTTCTTATCTCATCCTCCATTTCCTGTCTCATGGTACTTTTCAACTCTTCTTTCATTTCCTTGTAGCTCTGTTCTAGTTCATTGCGAGCCTCTTCTTCTTTCTTCTGTTGGCGCCTAGTGGCGTCCTCAAGCATGGCCACAGTATAAACCATGGTGCCGTTCCCCGTCCGGAGATCTTGTAACATTGATAGCAGCTTATGTCCACACTCTGATCTGGATTCCCACGTTCCTGTGTTGTCAAAACCAATGTATCTTCCTCCACATGCATTAAGGATTCTCTTCAACTCCGGTGTACTCTCTTGTACGTATTCCTCCAGGGTAACGCCATCATACTTTAGATCATCCAATCTCGTAAAGATAAGAACAGTAAATTGAAACACTTCTTCTCCAAACATTTCTCTAAGAATATCTATCATTGTCTTCTCCTCTGGTGTAAATCGACCTATTCGAATTACAAGTCCAAAGGCATCAGGGCCTGGTGTGAAGGTGTACACCGATTCTGCAAGTCTCATTTTATTTGCGTAAATATCCTGTTCTTCTGCAAATAGCCCAGGTGTTTCAATAATGGTTAAGTGAGGGTTCTGCTTTGTCACTGTATGGATACTATTCCACCCTAACGATGATGTTCCATGTGTAATGGATGCTCCAAGAAGTGATTCTATCACGGCAGTTTTGCCACTGCCATTACGACCAAGGAGAACCACTTTCATTTGGTTGCTCATCGTCCTGCAAAAAATGTAATAATAACGTCGGTTTTATTTTATGCTTGATATGTGAGGCTCGAGGTATTTCTTGCTTAATGTTGATTTCGCCAATTGTGTCATTGTTACCGAATATATATTGAGTGATCATATTATTGAAATTGTAATAAAGAGCAACGAGTCCAGGCCAACTTATCACATAAAATCATGATGTCCCAACGTCAGTGTGTCAGATCTCATTGACGCACAGAAGCACGGCATAAAGGAAGGTACAGGTACATGTGCTATACAATCTTCAGATTTGCTAGTCCACTGTATGTATACTAGGCACATAAAGAAACTGTGCATTGTCAAAATATTATCCCAGTTGATAAGTACGATAACAATGTCAAAGGTACATATAAACTTTAATGGAGGGATCATGAGACCATAACAAGTCGGGAGAATTTCAATTGAAAAGTCAATCACAATGACGTCACGAGTCCACAAGCGGGACAGGGGTAAAACGACCATGTCACAAGCTCAATAACGGGTATGTCCACCATCAGCATAGAGAACAGCAGTGCATCGACGACGCATAGAGACCAATCAAACGTGCAAGGAAGGCTTGTGGGATGTCAAGCCAGATTCTCTCAAGTTCTGTTGCAAGGTCAAGGACGTTATCTGGCGGATGAGGAAGACGGCGCAGACGTCGATCCATCTCGTCCCAAACATGCTCTATCGGGGAGAGATCCGGTGAATTTGCAGGCCAAGGCAGTAAGTCAATGTTGTGGTGTTGCAAGAAATCCATAGAAACCCTTGCCGTATGAGGGCGGGCATTGTCCTGTTGGAATGTTAACCCAGGGCCATGACGTTGCAGAAAAGGAATTGCCACAGGTCGAAGAATCTGATCCCTGTAGCCCACAACAGTTAAGTTGCCCTGAACAATCACCAAGGGGGTGTTCTTTGGCGTGCTGTTATTCCACCCCAAATCATCACGGAACCACCACCAAAGCGATTCCTCTCCAAGACACAGGCCTGTGCATAACGTTCTCCCACGCGTTTATAGGCACGTTGACGTCCATCACTATGGGAAATGTTAAACCTGGACTCATCTGTAAAAACAACATTTCTCCACCAAAACAAGGGTCTGCGGACATGATTTCGGCACCACATTCGGCGAGCTAGTAGTAGATATAATGATAGTCCGAGACCAAGTCCAACAAAAGCCTCTGCAAAGCTTTATTTCACAAATAAAGGTTTTGTCAGGCCCTTAGATCTCGCCCCAGTATATCCACTACTTTTGAAACCCCAGTTAACTTCCCGACCCAAAGTGGCACTACTGTGCCGCTATGACGTGTTGACAGGAGGTAACATTGGACCGTACGGTATGATCAATAATTCCTCTCTAACGAACCCTCTCCCTGGCACATCTCTCAAGTACTACAAGTTCGGCTCGTCGGCTTTGATGTCCACTTTATCTATATTGTAAGTTTTGACTGACCATATCGGATCGGTGGCTCGCTTACGACTATCCCCTTCGTGTTCCCCCGGCTTGTAGAGGTACCTCACGGGGGCCCTATCGGGTATCTGTTTCTCCTTCCCACGCAATGGTGCAGCCGACTCTGCCACTATTGATTTTAGTTTGATAGCGTCGGCTGGTTTCTTGCCGGTGAGACGGGTGATTTCGTGGTTGATGGCCGACACCACCTGGGGTAACCGCGCTACCCATTCAGTCGATCGTTTCCCCGGGTTGGTCATCTCTCTCGCATTCTGATGCCCGAATAAACGATCGGCCAAAGTCCTATTGAATCTCTCAACTATGGCTTGGCTGCGATGGGTTCCGGCCGTGCCACGCCTGACCTTGGTATCGTGTTTGTCTAGCAGTTGTGACACGGCACCCATGAACTCCCGGCCGGGGTCAACTTGCAGCTCTGTGGGCCACGTCAGCAGACTAGGTGTGCACAGTCTCTAATTGGGCCACTACACTGCTAACCTGAGGAGGCACCTACGTTCTTTTCTGTAGTCTTTTTTCTTCTCGTAGATAAGATGATGTCTGACTACGTTTGCTCCGTGAGCTTTGCATAGGCAGTAGTGACCTTTCACCCCGACACCACACACAGAACACGTGTAGTTGATACTCTTTATATGAAAACAACAGTACCTCTCAGTCCTGCATCTCCTACCACAGGCCTCGGTCTTCCCCATAAGTATGCACTGATATTGGTACGGGGCGGGTCTCATCTTTGGTAAACTTATATGAGTACTTAGTCTAATTGTTTTGCAACCAACGCAGTCACTGCTAGACCCAGCGCGCGATAAAGATCAATTCCCGGTCCATTTGCCCCGGGGATGGTGTGTAGTACTGAGCGAGTGTGGGCTTAGGAAGGAGTGGTTCTAGCTGTTTACCGGCTAGTAGGTAGTATTCTCTTGCTGCGTCGTCGACATCATGGAATGTTTTAACGGCATGGTTCTCACGCCTGAGTTCGTTAATGTAATCGATCCTCTGTACACGTTTCTTCGCGTACTCAGCTTGCGCTGTTTGTAATCGTTCAACAGCCAGGTCGTGGTGCTTACGCTCAGCTTGTATCTCAGCCGCTTGTGACTCCCGTAGTTATGAGAAGAGTCAATTACTATCGGAAAATGACAGGGCGTTTACTAACCCCTCCCCGCCGACCATCATGGCGATCGTAGCCATCCTATATATAGTTACATTTACTTCAAAATATTTTCCGGTAGGATCCCTTGTTTTACTAGGATGTCCTTGGTGGCCATCGCCATACCCAGGTTCATTATGAGCATACCCATATCCTGCAGGTTGAAATCTAGCTTGATAGTTGGTTGTTTAAGCACCATTTTGGTCAACCGAGCGTACCCTACGGCTAGACTAGCGACCACAGTGGCGTGGTATGCGTCGTTGACGAACGTTTTCCCCTCAGACATTATGTATATGATATAAAAATATATATTTATAACATGATATGTGGGCTGACCTCTAATTGTGGGTGCTCCCGGGGAGGGTTTCCCTCCTTGAGTGGTTGTTGTTTATATAACCATGAGATACCCACGGCAGCAGTTGCGCCGGCTGCACGTGTTACTCTTATGTTGGTTAGACCACCTTTTTCTACCGGCAGCGACTCTCTTAGGGTTCTTCTGCCTGGTGACTGTAGGGGTCACCTCCCAGGGGGTTTCCCCCAGTTGGGGTTTCCTCTGGAGGGTTCTCCTGTGCAGCATCCATCTTGTATACTATTATTATTATTTTTCCCCTCCTTAAATTGGCAATGCTTTGCTGTGATAATCGCCGCCGTCACCAGGGCTAAAAACATACCGTATTTGTGGTACAGCACGCAGCTGATAGAGCTCAAGGCGTGTTCAATAAAAGGGTCTTTCTCGAGGTCCTCCCACAGGTAAAGTTGGCGTTCCTGGGGAATGGGAAGGAAGTACGACGCAATACCAGTGTATATCTGGGTCATAGCCGATCCTATAGTCTTTGTCATCTCAGCCCCGAGTCTAGCCTCGTATCTAGCGTACAGCTTATCGATTTCTTCGGCTGACATTTTGTGAATTTTATCGGGAGTGTAGTCCCCAAAGTAATGTTTGGCTTTACCACCAACAGGCAGCGCGACCAGTCTCTCTCGCTTATCATCGTCCCCTTGCTTATCATCGTCCCCTCGCTTATCCCCCTCCAACAGTTGTTCTAGCAATTCATCACACTCCATCTTATAATGTAATAGGTAAGTTTTAGTTTTAATAATATAATACCCGATGCAGGCGAAACATAACGAGATAAAGGTTAAGTTGCACTCGATGAGAACTTCAAAAACAACCATCGTAACAATTAATTGCTAAGAGCTAAGCTTTGCTTAGCTTTGCTAAGCATTTGCTAAGCTTTGCTAAGCATTGCTAAGCTAAAACACCCTATAGGCCACGGGTTGGTCGGTCTTGAGCACGAGCTTAGCATGCTTAGTTTCAGCGAGCTGTTTCTTCACACGTTCCCTATCATGTTTTCTCATCACATCGTTCTCTCTCAAACACTCCTCGAACGAATCCCTGTCCTTGCAGTGGAATAAGGCCACCCATCGCGTCTGCTCCCTGAGGTCTTTCAACACCGAGTTGAAATTCTGCGTTAGCACCCAGACGCTGTGCTTTGCCTGCCGGCCGGAGAAGGCCAGGTACGATAGCATGTCTCTCTTTTTTGTTATCTCACGATTAGAGCTGCAGTCGTCCAGGATAAACAGTGTCGACTCCCCCTTGAATTTGTTGTGATAAGCTTTCAACCAGTCCTGCAGACGTGTCCCCGGGTCGACTCTGTGTACGTCCGGGTCCGTCATCACCCAAGGTCTTTCCGTGTACGTTCTATTCAGTAGGGCACATGATAACGATGTTATCGAACACATCCCGGTAGTATCCCTCCAACATATCCAGCAGGAAAACGGTCTTCCCACAACCAGTCTGCCCGCACACTATGGTGCATTGCGGGTCGCGGGGTAGATCAATAGATGGCTTGCCGCCAGGCAAATCAGTAGATGGCTTGCACGAATCTCCCATTGTCTATATTAAGTTGCGCGTCCATAATCACGTACAGATATAATTTCAACTTGCCCGGGGGTTGAGCCTTCTTGGTAATCTCGATGGTTATTCCCTCGCTGCCATTGTCGATGCGGCGACCGCTGCCGTGCAATTTATCATCATCCGTGGATCGCATGTCCAACCATAGCGCGTACTTTGTGGTCAGGTATTCACCGATCTGCACGGAGGATAGGTCCAAGTCTTTGGTTATGTGTGGGTGTTGTTTGATAGCTGGTAGCTTTTTTATCTCATCCCACTGCTGGTATGCCCTCATACCATGACTGAACAGCTGGTTGGGCACACCCTCGATGGTCACTTCCACATTTTCAATCTCGGGGTTGAAAAACTTCTCGCTGTCCCTTCGGAACAGCTCATAATCCTCCACGGGGACGACCAGGATACCTTTCATCGATCGCGCCGGCACGTTCAGGTTGATGTTCCACACAGTGTCGCTCTTATCCCGCACGACCGATCTAT